AGAAAGCATGTTTCTCTTGCCTCCTTAAGGACTATAGCCATTAAAAAAGCTATTAAAGATAGTGGGCAATTAAAGATACTGAGCTGTTATAGTGATTCAAAATTCAACGTAATTCATTAACATTTTGTCACAAACTATTCTTTTCAAGTCTTGGAAAAAGAAAGGAAGATTTTTCTCATAATGGGATGCTATCAGTAGTTACTTCTTGTTGTGCAGTTAAGTTTGCCACATACCTAATTTCTCTGATTATARATTCAAAATTATGCTCTTGAACCATTTTGGAAGGTTAGTGTCAATGTTAGTGGATTGAGATTTGATTATATTGTATTTTATTAGCTGTGSTCTCTTGTTGAAATGAAGCTGGTGGCCAGGACCATTCTCCCGCAACTGATACGAAGAGTGTTGATATAAATTAAATTGCTGACAAATTTCCAGACAGACTTTAATTTCTTAAAAAAGGTGCAAATGAAAATGTACTTAGGTCTGCAGTAGAAAAAGAGGATATGAAACCATTTTCTAAGAGAGAATTGGGCAAATTCATTTAGAAATACAAAGTCTTTATATTGTGAATGAAAAGATGCAAGACARCTACAGGCAATTTAAAATCAACTCACTCTACTGTTAGAATTTTTATCGTGTTTTGGGGTGCTTAAAGGTGCACATTTCATAAACGTGAATAYACCTTTATATCTACTCATTATTAGGTTGCATTAACAAAAGACTTTCATTCAATGTGTTGTAATCTTGAAAGTGGTGTATGGSTCATCAACCTATTTATTATAGAATTGTCCACATGGGGGTGCTAAAATTTCTGTAGAGGTAGTCTAAATAGTTTGTAAATAAAGTGAAATTTTAGGGAAATGAGAAATARATTAGGTTAGGAAATACATTTGGAATAATGGYGTACCATTTTGAATAGAAAAAGCTGTAAGATAAAAGGTTTTCTGTCTTCTACCAGAAAGCACAWTTTCTTCTACCTTCTTCTGGTTCCCTATTTTCAAAAATTTTATATTGAGCAACTAGTTTTCTCCTTTTAATTTTTTTTTCAGTATGACTTTGTTGCTAGCTTTCTTCTGGCTTCCCTTGTAGAAGAGAGGTAATGAGATCCATTTCTTCACAGTAGTGCTCTTAAGTAATAGCAAAGTCTTGTTTTCCAGCTTGTTAAGTCAGAAAAAGAGCCTCGGCATACAATGGAATGGAAACAAATGAATGATTTTCCATTCAGGAGACTTCACTAACTAGGTGATCAAATAAAAACTCAAAARTACTGTTAAAATTGCTTTGTTAGATTGTATGGCCTTTAGAAGAGAATAATACTTCCTTTTGGTTTTGTGTAATAACATTCAGAAATGTGCAGCTTTTAGGATTTATGTAACTTCTTTGATCATCTTCATGCTTGTGCAGTATCCTAACCTTTTTGAACCCTTTTTGGAATTCTGAATTTTTTAATAATCAGAGGCTTTGTGTTTTGGTGTCTATCCTGTGGAACTGCTGACTGCAGCCTCTTTCATGTAGTTGCATATAAATTGATAGATGTATGTTTTTGTCTGTGAAGGTAATATGCAAAACTATATGGATATATGTATGGGTATTCATACTTTTTTGGTGTATGATGAAATCTTGAATTCTTGAAGTCTTGTTCATGACTAAAAACTGAAAAATTATTTCTTTCATCAAGTATCTTTTCTGTTTGGCATGGGAGTGGTTTCTGTTGTATGAGTGGAGGTTTGATTGCATACTGGTGGAATTCTGATGGTTAGAGTATGTCTATCCTGCCTCAAAGAGGTGCCAGTTTTGAAATTCTTAGGTCTATGTGTTGCTGCACTTGGGAGATATTTTTCTAAGTATTTCAACAATCAAACGGCTGGATGTTTTCTGCTTGTCTTCAACTTGATGCCTAGTTATAGGTAAGGAGTTAAAGAGCTGCAATGTACTTGATCTAGAAAATGTGTCACTTAAAGTACTTCAGGGAAACCAGTGAGCAGCATAAGTAGAACCCACCATTGCTGTAAGTCACTACTTTTAAGATTTTTACATTCTGAATTGTTCATCAGATTATGGAGATTTTACGTTTTGTGTTTCTCTTGTCAAAATATATGGGTTTTTTCTTTGCAGGTTAACAAAAAATATGTCTGGAGTGCTTCCTGATTATCAGTGGGACTCAAAGAAAAATACATTGTGCTATATGATGATAATATTCTTCAATTCACTTGAAAAATGTCTGGCTTGATAACTGTAGAAGTTTTAAGGAAAACAAATTGTTTGTAGTAATTATACTCTGTATTCTGAATGAGGGTTATATATGTGCTTTTGAGTAACTTCTGTGAATTATTTTGGCTGTACTATTGACCAATCTGATCAGAACAGGCTCAATTTCCATTTAAAAGTGAAGTCAGACAGGAAGTATAATACAATATCTAAGTATATGGTGGGAAAAATGTTTGGCTGCACCTCTAAGTTATGTAAAGGGATATCAGATAAAGACTTAACTATTATTTTTGTTCTGTTGCAGGGATTTCTCCAAAGTTAATATCCTGGTACCTGGTGCTGGGCTAGGTAGATTGGCGTGGGAAATAGCTATGCTCGGTTATGCTTGCCAAGGAAATGAATGGAGCCTCTTTATGCTCTTTTCTTCTAACTTTGTACTCAACAGGTATATAGCTTATGTTTTACTTGCTGAATAAAACCTAGAGAGGTAAAATTATAAATGGGAGAAGTCTTAATAAATGGGAGAAGTCTTACAAGAATAGATTTGTAAGTTGTAATACAGGACACACTTTTTTAAATGCCTTCAGAAAACAAGTGTTAGGGATAAATTGGGAATGAAATACTGGATCTGAGTCATTAAAATTACAGGAAGTAATGAGATTTAAAATTTCTAAATTACTACAGATTTTTGGCATAATTTTGATTAGGTTTTATGATTTAGTTCACATCTGTATCTGTAAAATAGACACCTCTCTTACTGTTATGAATATGGGCTAGTAAATACGTGCACAGTATTTAGTGGTGGTGATTATTAACTAAAGAAACCTGTTTAAAAAAAATATTACATTCTATGCTAACATTTTAGGTACTGTCTTGACAAGAAAAGCAGTCATCGAAGTGTGCTGAGCCAGTGGCTAGAATAAAGAGTTAATAGTTCCACAATTGTGCTTAGGCAATAAGTTTAAATGTAGTAAATTTCACATTACAGGTTTTACTTAAAATGACATTTCCGTGTTCCGTATTCTGCTGCTTGCATTACAAATTACTGGTTTCAAAATGATGTAATCAGAGAGGAAAAAAGGCAGCAAATGCAACTGTGTATTTAAGAAAGCATTTGGGAAGGCTACCGGTGGGCAAGTATTGAAAGAGGTTYGGGAGGTGTTTTGTTTGTTTGGGTGGAGTTAGTGCCAAGTTCAGAAGCAGAATTTGACAGCTCATTCATCTGTCTGGGATGATACGCCTTTGCTGAAAATCCCTAAACTCTTGGGGTTTTTTTCTGTATTAGCATAATGTTCTGAAGACCTGTTTATATAAGACTGATTATCCACAGTGATGATCTGGCATGTCTTTCAGCTTTCTGTTCAAAAACAAGGGGGAAAACACTTGAYGATGGCTGCTGTATATCTGCCTATAGCAGTAGTGGTCAATGTGAAGCTAATAGACGTTTTCATTTGTTCTTTTTTTSCTGCATTATTCGCAAGTGACTCATTTGGTGGTGAAATTGTATATTACAATAGATCTGACTTATGCCTTAGAGCTACTAAAAGGAAGCCACATTCCTCTCATGCTTTGGAACTTCAAAGCAACATGAAAGTATTGAATTCCCATCTTTGGGAGCACTGGTCAGCTGTCACAGAGGTTAGTTACCTTCACCCYTACCCTCTGATGACATGCTTCCTTAAATAAGTCTTTTGGCCTATGTGAGAAATTATGCTGAAGATTGATGCTTTGCTAATGGTAGTAATAATTTTTGGCATCTAATGCTTATGTAGTGTTTCGTGTTTATGTAGGATATTCAACAAAGAGGTGTACATGCGATAAATTTGCTCATGGTAGGAGATTTTTGACAGTAAAATTGAGGTGGTRTGCAACTGCTGTAAATCTTCAGCTTTGCTGAACTAGTTACCAGCTCTATTCACTTGTTAGCATGGAAGAGAGTACTGCTAGCATGACTGAGCAGCAGTCAATTGAAGTCCAAGCTTTCCTTTTTGCCAGATGTGACAGTGGGCTTGGTGAGTCTCTGATGGAAGTTTTAGGGACATGTAGATTTTTTCAGTTTAGTCTTAAGTGGCTGTTCACAGTTAGCTTTCTGAAATGCACATTTGGTTTTCTGAAACTGGAAGAAACAGCAATCAGTACCAGCTGAAGAAAATACCTAAAGAAAAGTGGTCRGAAAAAAGAATTTAGCTGATTAGTTTTTAAGTATAGTCTCAATTTAGTTTATRCTTGTTTTTAGTTGACAAAAGCATGAGGATTTTGCTCACATGTGCTTACAGTTTTAAAGCTTACAGCTTTTCCCTCTTTCTCTGATGTTGGTTTCTTTTTAGGAGGACAAAGTACTCTTTTGAATRTCATGCATTGCTATGGTAGGCTCCTACATGTGTAACACTGGCTTAATATTTCTGTGTGCGAAATGGTATTTGCTGATTTTCACGCATTTTATAACTTTTGAATCTCTGAAATTGTAAACTTTTTCTAGAGTGGATTAAGTTGCAAGGTATGGTATGTAGAGTGTGTGTCAGGGTGTACCTGTGGTTATTGTAAATATTTGAAATTATTTAAAGTTTGTTATTCTGTTGAGGAAACTCTATTTAATCTAAGAATAAGGCGATCCTGGTGTAGTTAAGCTGAAGGCTCCAAGGCTGCTTTCCCTTGTGTGCATAAGGTTCTTACRCAGTGTATTTTTCTTCTTTACTTTCCAGAAAGAATCTCATTTTAGATAAACCTTAACACTTGGAGAAGACTACTAGTTATGTTTGTTGCATGCCCATGAATTCCTTAGGATGAAAACAGTCAAGTTGCATTTTATCTCTGAACAAGTAGTCAGAAGTGATATRTGACCTGCCCATTTTTTCCAAAACTGTCTTTTCAGCTGAATGGAACAGTAAATACCCTGTCCATGTAATGTATATTGCCCCTTTTTTGTTGTGAGAATGGAATTGCCAAGGACTAAGAGTGCTTGGTTTTGAAGTAAAAATTGTTGATACTGGAAATGGAGGTTTTCARGCTTTTATATGAAAAGGGGTTGCCATTTTCTGTTAAATAGGAACTGTTTCAAAGTCTCTGTGAACATGAGCTCCTTTCTAGTAGTTTTTTTTTTATTGCTGTTATAGTGGTTAGGGGCTTTTCTGTTRTTTGGTTTTGGGTTTACTTTTTTTAACCATACTTACTCATGTATGAAGAAAGTTGTTCAGTGCTGTTGTACTTGATACTGCTGCTCAAGTGCAAGTTGATTTTGCCCTATTTTTTAACKGATAAATGGAAATATGACATAGAGAAGGTAAAAAAATGTTATTCCAAAGAGYATCACGAATACATTCTAACCACCAGCCAAAAGAGTGCACTTTCTGTAACCGGATAGATTGCTTGCAGTTGATGAAGTGCTTGATGATTTTGCCTTTGAAAGAAAATGTTTTAATTTTTTAGTTAAAAACTTAACTTTACAGAATGATGGGAAAAGTTTCTTACTATACGTACATGCTGTGGTTTATCCCTTTATAAATAAAAGTTGATTACTCATGTCAGCCCAGATCCTATTTTACAAAGACGTCTTTACTTAGCATGATTGCAATGGTGCAGATGTTACAAAGTTAAAATGACTTCCAGTACACTTTGCAACATGGAAACAGCTGTGCTTTGCAAAGTGACATTTATTTGTTTTCTAAATTTTTAAAGCATCTTTTCCGTTGGCATCCAAGAAATGCTTTCGTTTTGCTGCTCTTCAAAACGTACTATGATTATGGTTCAAAAAAGATAGGAAGGTCTAGAATGAAAACAAATGTCTAAAAAAAAATCACGGAACTAATGTTACTAGTTTTTTACCTTTTTCTTTTCTTTTTCTCCATAAGAGAGATGATCCAGAAAATCTCAGMTTTATGAAATATAAAGAATGACATATTTTGTTAATCTTATCAAATAAACATGTATTTTTTTCTCAGCAGAGAAATAAGTTGGAGAAAATGATAAGAAGTCATAAAAGAAAATTCCAAAACTAAGGAAGGCAGTTATTTTGTGGTAATGATTTCATGTGAGATTAAAAAATAGTTTTTTGGTCAGTTCATTTTAATGGGCCATCTAAAGTAGTGTGAACTAGATTAACTTATTAAGCAGATGTGGAGCAGTTACAAGAACTGACTCTTACAAATGTCTGGATGATAGATAAGCAATTATTTGAAACAAATTTTGCTGATTTTGTATTTTGCAGATGCTCTGAAATTAACTCATGTAAGCTTTATCCCTGGATTCATCAATTTAGCAATAACAGAAGATCCGCTGATCAGATACGACCAATTTATTTCCCAGATGTTGATCCTCACAGTCTTCCTTCTGGTTCAAACTTCTCTATGACAGCAGGGGATTTTCAAGAAATTTATTCTGAGTGCAGTGAGTAAATGCAAACTTTTAGGTTATCCATGTGACTTTACATACCTTCAGAGCATTTGGACTGATTATAAAGAAAGTGGAAGTGTGTCTACAAGTATTCAGAACTAACTATGGCAAGATTTTCTTAGAATATTTCTCTAGCTGCATAATAAAATGCAGATCAATAGGTCTGTTTCTTACTCCAAATTTCCTTTTTTTTGTAGTTATAGAAAATGTAGACACCTCCTTGTCTAACAGATCTTGCAGGAGCCTTCCCTACAGCGGCTTAATTTTCTGAAAATTCTGCCTTTAACATTAGAACATCACAGACTGGCATAAATCAAGACTTTCAATTTTTATTTACAGAACTTCGCTATTTCAAGAATACCTGTTTAGAGAAAAACAGGGAGACTCATGCTTTGAAAGGCACTTAGAAAGTTCCTGCTTCTTGAATTGACTAGTAAAAAACTGCTAGGGAGATATTCAAATACTGACTAAAATGCTTTAAAGCTGAGTGACTTGTGAAAATACACTTTACTGTACAGACTTGTATTCTTCTGGATAGTAACTAGGGAGGCCTAAAATCACGGGATTTTTGCAGTTGCATTTTTAACAGTTGTCATGATGAAATTCATAGGACAGGTGAGTAATAGCACACTTGGGCCTTTATTTATATAAAATAAGTTACAGCATTTACATTTTACAGTATATAATATATTTAATTTTCTGCCAGGAGCAATTTGATTAAGTGAATGTGTAATAAATATGTGTAACATGTTATTTCAGAGTGTGTATGTGTACATATACACCTGTATATACAGGTCAAATGAACCCAGAATTAACATATAAACCAAAACACTTYGCTTGCAGGCAAAATTAGGAGCCTTCAACCTGTTTCTAGTTGAAGGTAATTCTGAAGGTATTAACAAATACCAGGGTTTTTGATGAACTTTTACAAGGTTAAAAGCATTGAAACTAACCTTTGTATACTTTTCTCTTTTTATGCAGATACGTGGGACTGTGTAGCAACTTGCTTTTTCATAGATACAGCACATAATGTTATTGATTATATTGATACTATATGGAAAATACTGAAGCCTGGAGGAATATGGATAAATGTAGGCAAGTGTGACCAACCTCTCTTTTTGACTTGTTTTTGATAGTAGACTTGAAAAGTGTGGATGAATAGTGTCCATGCAGAAAACGGTACAGCTGGAAAAATATAGGGCTGGGAAATTATCTCAGAAATATTCAAAATAGATTCAGATGCTTGCTAGTTACAATCAGGTCAACACCGTGTTATTTTTAAATGGGCAAGTAAATTTTGCCAGTGGCAGATTTTGCATTCATGCATCAAACATTAATTTTTTGATCAATGTATTGTTCTGTGGTTTTTTTTTTGTTATTTTTTTCTAATAAAATAGGACTTGTAAATGGATACTTGCTTTGTATTTTTTTTTTCTTTCARTGTCTAATTGGTATTTTGATTCTAAGCAGAAATTTTGGGAATGAGATTTGATTGATGTCATTCTTGGTGAGGGAATTTTACACMAAGTGCAGGCATTAAACATTTTGTGTGGTAAAAACTGGTTGGTCAGTGGTCCATTGGTCACTGTCCCACTTCTAGCCAGTCAGAYTGCTAGCAGAGCTCCTGAGCAGACTTCTGTATTCTGAGCAATAGAGACAGCAGTGATGCTGGATTGAAGAAGTTTTAAGATACAGGAAACAAAATCTGGTAGGAAATGTCACCGATTGTTGAATAAGAGGTAAAGTAATTAGTTTTTATTTTGCATTGATTCTGAAATTCATTATTAAAATAATATTCAAATATTGTAGAATCATAGAATGGTTTGGCTTGGAAGAGATCTTAATGATAATCTAGTTCCAACCCTCCTGTCCTAGGCAGGGAACCTTCCATATTTTTGAATATATGAATCTGGAAATAAGCATTTGCTGTACTTTTCAGTATGTGCTTTTGAGTGTTAACATATATTTTGTCTTTTTGATAACGTTTTTTGTTGTATCTTTGTACTCTTAGGCCCTCTCCTTTACCATTTTGAAAACCTGGGAAATGAACTTTCTATAGAATTAAGCTATGAGGATATAAAAAACGTTATCCTGCAATATGGATTTCATATAGAGGTAAGAAGATGCTGTAGTTGGCAATAAGCAGTATTGTTATGAATCAGACAAASTGCTTTTGAACCACCATAAATTTCATTCAGTATAATGGCATATATTAATAACTTCTAGCGGTGTTACGTGTCTTACACATCACCTGCTTTTCTCATTTTTTATGAAGTGTATAAATGGACCTTACAGTCTAAAAACTACATAGCATTTTCGTGTAATAGTTTCTGTACAGTGTCTTGAAAACTGCTGCTTTGTTTTTAGGTGGAGAAAGAATCTGTACTGTCAACTTACACTGTGAATGAACTCTCCATGATGAAATACTACTATGAATGYGTGTTGTTCGTGGTAAGAAAACCAGAACAGCAGTGATCTGAATAGGTTATTGAGAACCTAGTGTTGGCTTGAAAGCTAGAAAAGAGAAGAAAATGATCTGGTTATGTATGGACACAACCTCAAATCAGTGGTGCCTTCCTGTTCCTAAGAGGATATAGATAGCGTCTATTTTCTTAATATCTCTATTGCTATTCAGACATACTATGTCAGGCATATTCATTATATACTTGTGAAAGATGAAGTGTTCACATACACTGTCTTTGTGCTTTGGAATGCGTTAATAATATAAGCAAAAGTGTTTTCTTGAGATCAAAATGTAAGGTTTGCCATAACTAAGCTAGTTCTCTGCTAATGATGCCTCATTTTTCATAGATTTATAGTGCTTTTTTTACTACTTTCTCATATTAGGAATGCATGGAGGTGCTTACTGTACTAGCTGTGTCACTTTTAGAGAAGTATTTGTAAATGTATACTTAAATTATGAAGTCTGAAATGGTTGGGGAGTGGTAAAATTATACTTGACAGATAAAATAGGAACTGTTAGAGCATTTTCTGTGGAACTGAAGTGAAGTAGGTTATTATACAAAATCTTTGTACCACTATTAAAAGTTCAGTTAAAAGCAGAACTTATAGGCAAAATACTATGTGGAAGCAGAATACTGAATGAAAAAAGAAAGCAGAATGTCACAGAAAAGCAGTATGTTAAGCTCAGTTCAGGAAAACACCAGCCTTGATGGATTTTGGTGTTGGAACTGAAATGTGTTAGATGCTTTGCCTTCTTGCAATACACTGATTTTGGATCATCTTCTTACTGCTTAAGCCAAAAATTTTAAAGTTGATAAACATAGCTGAGTTATCTACGCCATGTGTAGGTAGTACATCATAAAAATATCTGTCAGAGCAGTGAAGCTTCATGTAAATTTGTGCTATAACCTAATCACCTCCACCTGAGCCAGGATATGCAGACCAAATGGTAGACGATTTCCTTGTAACTTCAGACATTTTACCCTTGTGACTTCTTAGTTCCTCAYACTAATGTGGCTTTTTTTCCTAACAGCTGGGGCTTAGGTGAATATTTAATCTAGAAGTCGTGATACTGTGTAAGAGGCTAAATCTCATGTCACTTTGAAGTTATGTACATGAGAAAAGCCTTAATTAACAAGGATCCCTAGTCTGAAAGGAGGTGTCATGTTAGGCATTTTGTTTTCTTAATATATTGATTACCTTAAGTGCAATTTTGATGCATTTTCAAACATACATTTAAAACCATTATGATGAGGGCCGAAAATCTTTTTCKTATTTGACTATGAGGGCACTGGTCAGTAACTTGTTTAATTCTGATTATTTTTTGGCCCATTTTTCATGGGGATATCCTAATCACATCTCTTTAATAGATCTGTTACTGGCTTCTCGATTTTTCCAATCAAGGCCAGAAATTTGTGCCTTTATTCCTAAATTGAAAATCTCCAAGGAGGGAAAATAAACTTTTTTTAGTATATTTTTAACACTGCTAGAGAGCACATTCCTGCATATTTCAGTATTGTGTCCCTTTCTGCTCAGCAGAGCAGATTGAAAAGAGAGGTGCACAGAAGTTTTTAAGTACACCTTGGCTTAAACTTGTTTTCTTTAACCAGTTGACTCTAAATTAGTAAAAGTGTGTGAACTGTTGAAGTTCTAYCCTGTTCCAAGGGAGATGTTTAAAGATAAAACACTGCTATTCAACAAACTAAAAATCCTTGCACACCTAAAAATAAAAAGCCATGTGCTTTAATTTCTGTATTGTATAATTTACTTTTTGAGGAAATTTGTGATTCCTTGCTTTCAATCTGCTTTTCTTCCCTTAGAATATGATTAATAATTGACTTGATTTTCAAGCTTCTTGAAATGAGAGAGGTTAGATGAATGTCAAACTGATGCTCAGTAGTGAGAGTATCTGTCTCATATTAATCAATTGCTGCCCCTTACAGAGTCTGTAACTTGAAATGTGGTGTTCTGTTCTTCAAAAATAAGCATTGGAACTTATTTCTGGTTGAGTGTCAATACCCTGTGTTCTGGTGGTTCTTTTTGCTRCTCCATGTTGTCGCAGGTGCCATTTATTGTACGTTCTCTGAACATGTTTTTACATATGGTTTTAGATGGTGATATGCTTTCATTTCTGATCTAGAAAAGCTGTTTTTTTCCCACAGCATTCTGCTTTTCAATTGCAACAGTCACATTAGGAGTTGGAAGCAAAATAAGCTTGTGAATGAGTTGTTTGTAGTGTTTTACTTGCAGTCCTATTTATGAGTTTTTAGAATTCTCCACTTGTACTGTAATGCACAAGGATAATTGTGTATTATWGAATTTGATTATTGTTTTATTTAGTTTTATATGTAGGGGAAATGCTCAAGGTGTTTGTCAGCTAAAACTGTTTATTTTGGATCTAACAGGTGTAAAATAAAATGCTGCATAATCTTCATTGTAAAACTTCTTTATATGGAGTTCGATAAATGTAAAATGTCCTGTATTTTTTTTAATATGTTCTGAAATTGGTTCTGAAGGGGATAAGAGTGGGAAGTTTCACGTCTGTGCGTGCACTTCCCGCAGTTTTCGATGTGTGTAATGGATTGATTTTTTGGATATTAAAGCTTGCTGTATGGCTTGATGTCTTGCGTGTTTGGCTCTGTCCTTTACTGCGGGGTGGGACATCGCCTGCTCGGGCTCTTCCCGCTCCATCCTTAAATCC